TGTCAATTGAGTGCAATTATTATTTTAATCCCGGTTAAATACTTCACTTTAAGTAATTCATCTTCCCGCGCAAACTAGTCGTAGGACTGTACGAGCCCCGTCCCGTGGAGACGGTAACTGGGAAAAATCCCAGAAGTTTCATTCCTGCGATTCGAACTTGGGACAAATCCCATGAAAACGTCCCGTGGAGACAAGGCCTATGTTGCTCAATTTTTGCCATTGCTGTTGATCAGTAGAACTACACTTTGAAAATTCATAAACTGATCTTCTTAAACATCTTAAACATTCATTCCTCAAACACAGACAACTTGAGGCCACGTTCGAGTGGTTGCAGGAGACCAACGAAGGTCGATGGCTCACCATTCCGCGCCAGGGAAGCGCCGAAAGATTTACATAAGTGCTTCTCCATCTTTGAATGATCGACTATGAGGCCACCGGTGACTGATGATCAGGACTGTTTAGTGTTTAACGCACGCGGCACCATCGTCAAGAGGGGCCTAGGAGTGCAGATCAGTGCGCGAGGCATGAGTGATCGAATATCGATATCTTCCCATTTGAAGCTATGATAAAGAATCGATTATTAAAGTGTTCGTTGCGAACACTCGGTTTATCGATCCTTCTCCATTACACCTACGGCAGATCAGTCAATATATCGCAAAGCACGCCACGCCACTGGTGCAGATAGCCCATCAATATTGTTTTATGGGCACGACGCAAGGCGCTATGCGCCAAGGTCAATAACACGGTGGGAGGAGGCTCCAATCGTCGCCCCTCTGACGTTAGGACGTATCTCGATTCCTGCATGAGCCCTAGAAAGCATGGGTTTATACGAAAAGCATGGCTCACGTGGAAATTGAGTTACGCTTTTACGTCAGAGAGGCGACGCAATGTGACTCACCTCAGCGTGTACGGTTTCCTTTGTGCTGAGAGGTAGTCATTTTTTGGTTGTCCAAACATGCACTGAAAAGAAAATACGGGCTTTGTAGACGTACCGTCCGTTCCGGGCTCAGAGGCCGAAAGTTACGGGCGCTGGAGCCGTAGCTTCGATTGCTTCGGGTTCTGCGCCCGGAACTTTTGGCCTCTGAACCCGGAGCGCGCACGGCATGTTCATATAATAAAGCCCGTAAGTACGGCCTCCATGGCCGGAGTTTTTTCTCCAGTGTGTATAGACTAGATATACATTAAAATGCGGTGGTCCGTATTTGACAGGGAATAAAGTCCATACTGAGAGACAAAAGCCGGGTTATATCTGTATCTATATGGACAGCGCTGGCGAAAATACCAAACCGCGGACCACTAAGGGCCGTCCATCAATTACGCGACCTAGCTCCGTCCGTAACCCCTAGTAACCTCCGTTCCTAGTAGGATAGACAAGAGCCGAAAACAGGGTGATGACCGGTGCTCCACTGAGGGGCGTTGAAGACAAACCGCATAAGTGCAGTTTTTGTTATTTCAAGAAATACCTACGCGTTTAAAGTTTCAAAATTAAATGGAGCCTTATGGCTGAGAGGAAATTTGAACTCACTTTTTGATGCTTTTAAGTTGGGTTTTAATTGTGCATTGTTCACAGAATATACTTTCAGACTAGTTTTAGTTGAGTTCATGAATGTATTAATGGAGATGTTGCATGTGTGAGAGTTTTGCGATTTGACAATTGACTCTTATGTAAAATTTCGCGAAAAACACGATGGTGCCACTGGTTTTCTCTGAAATCAACTCCCAAGCTCAAAAAAAGCTCCCAAGTTGAGCCCAAAATGGAGGGGATACCCCACGCTATCCTGAGAGTCCACCTCTACATCAAGACAAACTCTCCGTGCAAAGATAGGGAGCAAATACATTACTGACAGGGCTGCCACTTTATTTGGGGACTCCATAACTGAAAACACGGCAACCCTGCTAATGTATTTGCCCCCTATCTTTGCATGGAGAGTTTGTCTTGATGTAGAGGTGAACTCTCAGGATAGCGTGGAATATCCCCTCCATTTTGGCCTTAACTTGAGAGCTTTTTTTGAGCTTGGGAGTTGATTTCAGAAAAAACCATTGGCACCATCGGTTTCTCGCAAACTTTTACAAAATAATCAACAGTCAAATTGAAAATTCCTCACACATGCAACATCTCCATTTCGGACGGTTAGGGCAATTTGATGCTTGTGAGCCCGTTTTCTCAAAACTTCATTTTTGCACTTACTGCTCTCTTCGCCATCATGGCAGCCTAGTCGTGGCCTAGGGCTAATCATCTTAAGGCGTCAAAGTTGCGCACCATCGGTGCAAGTGCCTGTGGGACCGTTGGAGCGGCACCCATGGATCTCGGGGCCCATCGCCGGTTTCTCCCATCCCATGGATTTGGCGGAGAATATGACTGGGAATGAGTCGGCGCGGCGGTGACGCTTCGGCGGCTATTACGAGTAGGCCAAGGTGGAGAGCATTACATTGGGCCCATTATTATGACACAATAGCCCGAGTGTCAAACGATCGAGCATCGAGCGTTGCCAATCAACGCAAGTTCCACGCGCCGCGCCGGCCGGGCCAAACGGCTGGAGCACCGCAATTCGGTGTTATGCACGCCTCATCGAAGACTCAAAATCCGCGACGAATAACTTCGAGCAGATGCTGCGCATCTCTATTGGTGATCGGATCCGTGAAAAAGGACCTTATCTTCCAAAAATCTACAGAATTATTGGTGCGACAATGTAGAGGAGGACAATTTGGGCATCTCGGAGCAAATTTGACCCTGAAAGTTCAAAAATTTAAGGAGACATGGCACCCCAATCGATAGACAGAGTGGTAGACAAAAAAAAACATATGGAGTATGGACGCGATCCTATTAGTTGAAATGAGTGGCTCTCATATAGATTATAAGGGAAGAAATGGACGTATTTCTATCAAACGGAAGTAAGCGCCAATTTGAGCTCCTTTTGAGGAATTTAGAATCCCGGAGAGCGCGTTCTGTCAAACGAACCTAAGCGCCATGGAAAAGCATTGCGAGTACAGGACGGAATAAGCCGGACACCCAATTCCGTCGCCAATCCAAGCCCCCCTCTACCTTCCTCACCCTATGGCGCTTAGGTCCGTTTGATAGAAATACGTCCAAATGATGGGCTAACTATAGGGTCTCCTGTGGGTTGCTGTTAGTTAGTATATTACTTGCCTCCTTTGTCCATTGCAACCACCGGCTTACACGAATAGGATACCTCAATATCTTTTCTTCTTCTTCGTCTATCGCTTTGTCTATCTTGTCTATTGCTTTGTCTATTAATTTCACGATTAGCCCGAAGAAATCAGGAGGTCGGCGGGAATATCTAGGAGAGATCGGGTAGAATGATAGGTGCGACAGATCGTTGTGACCGAACAGCTTTTCTGGTATACGGTCACGTTATCAGGATAACGGAAGAAAGTGTGCCTTGGAAGATACTTGATTGGGTTCTTCCTGGAAGGAGACGAAGGGGTTCGATGTTAGGTCCTGCGTGATCAATGTGATGTTATACATATGGGTACTAGTGTCTTGATACAACTATTCAAGCTCGGAAGCTGTCAAGATTGCATATAGATAAAATTGAAGGCGTTACAATTCCTTTTTCTGAACTGTTAGCATCAATTGGACTGCATTTTGCAATTTGGAACTATAAATTCTGGCCCGATTTAAAAACAACGTATTTGCCGTTAGTTTCCCCATGCACATAAGTGTTTTTTTCAAATGAGCCAGCATTTATAGTTCCAAATTGCAAAATGCAGTCCAATTATCAAAACCGAAATACTAAGATTCGCATCTCCATTGTTCGAGCCGGCAAGTGTGCATTGGGTCTCCGATCTCTGACCGTCATCAAAACAACTGTCCTGCATTGGGAGTATTGATATGTGTCATACATATCATAGTTGGTGAGTACAGTCATCGCGGCGAGACGCAGGAGGAGAGACATTGAGGCACTGAACGGAGTCTACATTGCAGATACTGGAAGATGATGTAAATGTGATATTTATATTGTTTTCGTTCAATTGTATTCTCTGACTATGAGAAAATAAGTTTTAGCTGGTAAAAAACGCGTCGCATTGTTCCCTCAAAGAACGTGTCATGTGATGAAAATTGGAGTGATCGAATTATTTCTCAATTTTCTGGCATAAATATGAGAATTTGCAAGGCAGTCGTCATCAAGTTATCATGACACTCTGAGAGCAAGTTTTTGTAAATGAATAATTTATCTGTATCATTTCGGTGTGAGCTCTCTGTATAATTCCATTTCCATTTTTTACTTTTTATGATCGATTGGACTATATTTATCAAAAAGGAACCAGCGCGGTTACAGTGCTTATATGATATTTTTTCGACACGAAATATTTTAGGGAGACAATATGCGAGTAGTTTAGCTAAAATATACTGGGAAAGAGTTCATCCCAAAGTAAAGGTTTGCCATTGTCTGCAATAATCGGTGAAATTTTTATTGGAACAACTTCCGACGTAAAACTCGAGATCCACTACACATAACATGAGATTTGTAACCGCAAACATAAATTGCATTTAATTAAGGTCAAGGTTTTGAATATCTATTGCTTTTAAGTGAGCTTTATCACCTGTGCCGTGGACCACGGCCCGTGGTAAGGGAAAACGCCGTATGAACGTTCGAGAGTTGTTGAATTTACTTTGATAAAATTTTTATTTTTGAGGAAAGCTATGAATACTTTTCCGACAAATTTTCGAGGACTTGGGGTGAAATTGCGAACAAAATCATCCGGAAAATTGGAAGAAAAATATTTACAAACTTTCCCAAAAATTCGTGATTTACAATCGGAAATTTGGCAACGCCTAAAGGTTCATTCGACGTCCCTCCTTAGCATGGCAGAGCTCCCTCACTCACTTGTAAAAAAAAAAAAACAATTCTTTGAAGCAATTTTTGATTCCGCGCCTGAACATAGCACCGAAGTGAGAGAAATAGTATGCTGCAATGTTAAAGCCTGGTGGAGCTGTAAATTAATTTGTAAGCAATAAAAGAGTGTTATTTACTTACCGACAATCGGTCCTTGGCGTGTATGTATCTGAAGCGTTGAACGTAGTAAAATACTAGCCATGCCAAAGACATCACCATCAGCACGACGAAAGAGACGCTCACAAAAAGCACCGAGGTCCTGAAACAGAGATGCATAAATTATGAGTGATATTTTACTGTACAATATAAGATATTATGGCTTTAGCTGTCTTTTATGAATAGACTACACTGGAAAAAGTATGGCAGATGGAAAATTTGCGGGAGTCTGAAATTTTTTGCATTTTGCGCTTAAATGGATCCCTTGAGTGAGCTGAACACGAGGATACTCTTGGTTCAGAAATCGAACAACTATTAGAAGAGATACGACTAATGTATCCAATCTGCTAAAATACATGTGTTTAAATCAAAAATGCCGCCAGATGACGTCACTAGGCGGTGCATTTTCTCACTTTTAAATTTATTTTTATTTTTTTTCTTATATATGAAAAAATTATAGAAGTACAAAAAATTTGCGTGGAAATTCTTAATTCTATGCTTCCGTGCTAACAAAAAACGCCATAAGAACATTCGAGAGTTGCCACATTTCTCTTGATAAAACATGTATTTTCTAGGAAAGTTATTCACATTTCTCCTTGAAATTTTCAGATATTTTAGATCGAATTGCGAACAAAATTATCTGAAAAATTCGAAGGAAAATATTCGCAATTTTCCAAGATGATTCGATATTAACTGAAGTAAATCTGGCAACGTCTAAAGGGTCATACGGCGTCCTTCCTTAGGACGGCAGTATGGAAGTATGATGCATAAGTTCGTTTATCAAAGGAAATTTGGCAACGCCTGAAGGCTTATACGGCGTTTTTCCTCAGCACAACAGTATATCGATGTCGAAACTCCCGATCCGCGTTTTTCGTTTGCTGTGTTGAAACATTTCCTCTCCTGTTTTATTTCATTAAGGAGGAAAAATCAACATAACATCGTAAAGTTTTCTCGGAATTCGCCCCGTATAGAGAAGAAAAATCACCGAACTTTTTAAGAATGGACGTTGAGTGGGTTCTCCATTTACACTGAAAAAAAATTCTCGGCGTTTTTACCAAGGTCCGTTGGTACCTTTACCATCCACTTTTTTTACCAATTATTGGTAATTTTACCCAGACAGACTGGTAAGCTTACCTAAAAACCGGTACTTTTACTGTTTTTTTTTCAGGTAAGAATACCACTTTTATTGGTAATCAAGTCCCGGTAACTTCGCCATTTTATCTCGGTAATTCTACCACAGTCGATAAAAAATATTGGCGTTTTTACCAAGGTCCAGTAAAATTACCGAAAAAGTTCAATAATTTTACCGATATTCCTCCGTAAAATTACCAATTCCATAAATGATAATTTTACCAAGAAAAAACTGGGATCAAATAATACCCTGAATTCTTGGTAATTTTACCCTTTTCTTAGTAAATACACCGAGATTTTTTTCAGTGTAAAAATTAAAGTATAAATGGCAATATCGCAGACCGAGATACGTGGTTTGGTGGTTTCACCATCGACATGCCGAGATTTAATTCTAGAGAGTTGGAGGGTCGATGAGATAGGTGAACAGCGGGGGAGTTATTCTGTTTACCCAACTTCAAGGGTCCCGATTACGGTGGAAAATCGAAGGCTCTGCAAATATTTGGCTTGTAACCAAGGGCTGAATTAGCAAGTACCATACCACAGTGTAAAAAAATTCTCTCCTTGGCTCGTGCAGGAACACACACGGTCGAATCTATGCTTCCAGTTATGGCAATGACTTTGCACAACTGGGTTAAACAAATATATCAAGAGTCGGCTTGAGTCGCAAGGAATTTACTTTCAGCTTCATTTTAGGGATGTCTATTAGCCCTGGAAGGCCTTTGGTGTACATCGATATTCTAATGCACATTTAGGCATGAAGGATGTTTTTATAAAGTATTGTTGAGAGGAATAATATGTCTCAGAGATTTTTCTTTCGGAGAGAGCACTAAAACATCTCAAAAACTATTTTGAGAGACGTTTGAGGAGGTAAGTTATGATGACATCTGTGCGTTTTTAAACTGTTTTAAAGTCAATTTTAGTGTTTGTAAACATTTGAAAGTCATTGGAAGGCATATAAAGTTCTATAGTCTTGTTTTAATAATGTTTTAAAAAAAAAAATCTTCGATGGAAAATTTGTAAGATCATTTGAAAATTATTTGATATGATTTTAAAATAATTATCGAAATGTTTATAAAAAAAATCACCAAGGGCATGTTTTCATCCTTTAATATTGTCATTAATTGCAGTTTTTATGAACACACGTTGTATTTATTTTTTTATCTTCAAAACCAAGAAAGAATAGCATTTAAAAGAGGTTTTTCAGAACTAAGAATGGTGAAGGTGTTTGCTAAAATAGCTTCAGATTTAGTAACAAATGGATTGCATTTTGCAAAAAGGAACCAGAAGAATTGCAATGATGCGAAGATTGTGCATTCTCATGAAATTACTGAAACCATGAAAAAATATGAAATATACAGGGTAATTTTTGTCTTAAATTTCCAGTTTTTAGCGAGTAAAATAGAGACGGTTAATTGATAATCGGGTTTTTCTTCCAAGCCAAAAGAAGTTGCTCAATCTTAGCAAAATTGCAATGCTCCTGGTTCCTTTTTTCAAAATGCAGTCCAAATATAAATCGAGAGACCTTGAAATTTTCAAAATAAAATGAACAAAAATTTTAGGTTAGTTTCGAGCCACTCCGAATCAGATGTACAACTCTCGGGTGCTCAGCACGACCCAAATATCCGAGTGCTATTCGAACTCATGACGTCACGGCGAATGCACGGAAGGATCGCGGAACCGATTATTTTTAATAAAATACCTCCACGGAGAAGTGACGTTAATTAACCACAATTGTTTATGCAGGATTCAAAAAGAATGTTGGGTGCGATGGGGTGGTGAGTTGGGTGCAGTATTGATCAGCGAGCGTCGGGAGGGGGGAGGGGTAAGAGGGCGGTGGTACAAGCTGCACCGTACTGCACACAACTGCAACCGGGCTGCATTCCACGATTCGGGGGGGGGGGGGGGGCGGTGTTCCAAAATAACTTCCAATCAAAACGGAACATTCGTCTCTCTGTAGGTAGGGTTCATTTTGTGGTTTTGCGGTTTTTCTGCGAGTGCATGAACCATGATGAAGATTGGCATGTGCACTGTGCAGTGCTCTCTCTGGATGAAGCCTCAAAAGAAGAGTTTTTCAAGAGAACCCGAGTATTGTTTCTCCAAAAAAATATAAATATGTAAAAATATGCAAATTAAGTATGTGAGCAATAGTGCTGCATCGTAAATGTATTTGGACGTAATTTTCCCGAACGGAACTATGAGCATCATAACGTGGCTCTTATTGTGCGTCCATTCTTATGGGCCTCAGGGCTCTTGTCTTAATGCATGTAGTTCCGTTTGGCAGAATTACGCTCAAATACATTTACGATACAGAGTTATTGCTCACATATTTAATTTGCATATTTTTACATGTTCATGTTTTTTGGAGAAACAATAATGGGTTTCTCTACCAAAAGACTAAAAAAACTCTCCTCATGAGGTATCATCCAGAGGGGACACTGCACTACCTGCCATAGTTCCGTTTAGCAGGAATACGTTCATTTAAACTTTAAATAAGCACTCCAGGATTCAGAGCGAGCCTTATAAAATGAAAAAATGAACCTTGTTTCAGGAAAAAGGCAAAATATAGAGGAAAAATTCATAATTTTTGCAGGTTAATTATTTTCCTTGTATAGTAAAGGTTAAGCTTTTTTGCGGGTGAAAATTACATGAAAATGTTCACTTTGGATAGCTTTTTATACACTCGTTATACGTATAATCTTTATGTCTTACGTATTATTTTTTTACTTTTTCCTGGAGTGCTTTATTACTAGAATTTCAACTTTATAGTAGGGGGACATTACTCAACGCATAGGCAAAATTTCAGAGGATTTTCTCAAATTGGAGTTTTCCTCAAATTGGATGAAGCATGTAATCTCGATCTTTCTCACGGGATACGAAGTCTCGCTAGCGATGCGGAACAGCGATGCGTGACGGAGATCAAAACGCCTTCATTTTAACGCATGCAACACGGACATCCATTCAGCATGAATAGTCGTATCTAGTCGCTGTCATCGTTGTTGTGTCTTGATAGCCAACTGATACCCAAGTTAGAGGCGATTCAATCTCGTTATTTGAGTTTTTGATTAGGAAACTACCTCTAGTAACTAAAGAAATGCATAGCAAGTAATATTTACATTTTGTATCAGAACCAGATACACGGAAAATGTTAGGGATCATCTTAAGTTTTAGGTACATATTTTTTTTTAGAAAAATAATGAATCACGCGATTTTTAGCGACTTGAAAGGAAGAGCAATGGAAGTGTCGATTTTTGTTGCGTTTTCCATAAATAGAAATCTCATGACATTTTTCACAGAGAAACTTTTGATTATTCCGAATTTCAAGAAACTGAATGATGAAATGCAGCGCGATTTTAAGATAATTATTTGTATTGACGTGCCCCAATTATATTAATCAATTTTCTCCGCAAATTCAGATTTGTCAAAAACCAGCAGGAATTGAAAAAATTTCAACGAGGAGAACATCATTGACTTACGTATTTCAGAATATGATCTGTGGCGAAGCGTCAAATGATCGATTAGCGATATTTCTTCATTTGAGGCTGTGGTGAAGAATCGATTATTGAGGTGTTCGCTGCAAACACCCTGTTTATCGATCCTTTCCCAGAGGTTCAAATGGGAGATCAATCGATATATCGCAAAGCACGCATCGCCACTGCATATGATAAAATGCCTTTCATTTAAATTTTTGCTCCCAAGGTAAGTACACATCGGGGAACGTGCCTATCAGCCAATTACTTTTAGATTTAGGATTCATATTGCAAAAGACCCTCGGAACACTCAAGATTTTATTTGAAAAGAAAACTGCAATGCATATATCCTATTCTCACATTCATTTTCGTTCATCACTACGCAACAACACAATAGTGTTCACCAGTCATCCGAAACCGTAAAATTTGGAGGTTACATCACACTTTACTGTCTATCAGAGGATGCCCGTAACAATAGGAATCGTACAAACACACGTGGAACCAG